GCTCAGGACCTCAGATTGGGCCGAAGGTTTACCTTCCAACAAGCCAATGACCCTAAGCACACAGCTAAAATAATGAAGGAGTGGCTTCACAACAACTCTGTGACTGTTCTTGAATGGCCCAGCCAGAGCCCTGACTTAAACCCAATTGAGCATCTCTGGAGAGACCTAAAAATGGCTGTCCACCAACGTTTACCATCCAACCTGACAGAACTGGAGAGGATCTGCAAGGAGGAATGGCAGAGGATCCCCAAATCCAGGTGTGAAAAACTTGTTGCGTCTTTCCCAAAAAGACTCATGGCTGTATTAGATCAAAAGGGTGCTTCTACTAAATACTGAGCAAAGGGTCTGAATACTTGATGAAACTAAATGTTTTTCTGTCAATATGGGGTGCTGTGTGTACATTAATGAGGAAAAAAAATTAACTTAAATGATTTTAGCAAATGGCTGCAATATAACAGAGTGAAAAATGTAAGGGGGTCTGAATACTTTCTGTACCCACTGTATAAGTTATAATAAAATGTATATATGTATAATAAACTACAGATCAAAAGTTTGGGATGGGCAAGATATTTTAAAATATATTAATACTTTTATTGAGCGAGGATGCATTTAGTTTACCAAAATGAACAGTATATAAGACATTTATAATGTTACAAAAACTTTTTTTTTAAATAAATGCTGTTTACACATTTTCATGAAGATATTAAGTAAAACAGTTTTTTGTATTGGTAATAATAAGGATCATGTGACACTGATGACTAGAGTAATGGCTGCTGAAAGTTCAGCTTGGCCATCACAGAAATAAGTTACGTTTTAAGATGCATCAAAATAGACAACACAAAAATTAATTACTGTTTTTATTGTATGTTTGATCAGATAAATGCCTTTAAAAACTTCTTTTCAAAACCTCTCACTGACCCCAAACCTTTGACCGGTAGTGTATATATTACTGTGCCACCATCTAAAAATCACATGAAGTTAATCTTTAAAAATACTAATAGTTGAATAACAATGTTAATAGTAAACTGTGTGATACCTAAATTTCCTTGTATCATTTAAAATGAAATGTTTTTAGTCATTAAAGCAATAATTTGGCAAATCCAGTGATTATTTCGTCAAAAGCATTTATTGTATCAACTCAATATCTTGTAAACACGACTTTGTTTCAGGCGGACTGACAAAAAAAACCCTGTGTGGATTATGTCAGCCAATCAGATTAGAGCTTGCCAGTTTGAGAAAGAGCTTTCCAGTTTTGTACTTTTCAGGTCAAAGAACAGACTGTGAGTGGACAGGAGGGATGGAGACAGAGTTGAAAGGATGGAGAGCTGACAGACCAAAGGAGAGAGACAAAGTTTGAGATTTGGAGAATGCAAGGTGGTGAAATTATAGAATAGAAAAAGACAGGCGGAGGAAAGAGAAAGCATGAAAGTGAGAGTGTGGGAGCTGGAGAAGGGAAAGAGCCTTTTTTATTTTGGCCTGACGTCTTTATGGAAAGTTGGACATTTCCTCTAGGAGTCTGGTAGGGAGTGTAGAGCATGTAGAGCCACTTGGCTTGGGTGGGAGCCGCATTGTGAGATCAGATCTGGGTCAAACTGCTCCTAAAGCAGGAACACGCTCAACCAATTCCAATGTAATCTGAGAAAGGGCTTGAAAACTTGCATTTCCAGACCTTGTGTGTGTGTGTGTGTGTGTGTGTGCGCGCGCACGTGCACGTGCACATATGCTGTCCACTCTATGTACTCTGTTAACCTCTTGAAAAGCTAAGGACCAAAATTACTGTAGGAGATTTCTGGAAGTTTTGTTCACTGTAACATGGCAAGAATCCAGATGATTTTATGCATATTAGTGGCGAGAGAATGTGTGTCCAGTTTGGTTGTGTGAATGACAGCACTGCTATTATGTTCAGATGTAATGGAAGGATCAGATGCAGTCTCTTGCTCTCAGTCTGTATGCTGTTTGATGAATAGACTGTTTCGAAGGGTGTTTTTGTGTGTGTGCGTCTGCAGGGAATAAAAGAGACACTAGTCCGATACC